AGAGATGATAGTGGGATGAAGAAAGAGGGAGATAGATGTAGTGTCATGATAGGAAGAAGTTAGCGAAGTCGATGGTGAGATGGTAATGGTAATGGCGATGATGGTAGGAGGAGGAGAAGATTGGAAGGGAGGGGTAATTATATACTTAGGTAATTACTTAGGTGATTAAATGGAAATATAAGGAAGATGATTAGATTATCAGTAGGGAAGGGATCAGAGAAGGCACAGCAGATTATTTGCAGAGTAGACATTTTAAATATTTGAAAAAACTTCTCATTATCTACTCAAGAAATTCTTTTTTGCAATTCAGATTAATAGAACTAGTACTATGAATATCTTGAGATGGATTAGAATGGGGATTGCTTGATGAGATGGGTACATCGGTAAGAGATGAAGAGAAGTGTTAAGAGATCAAGAGGAATGAGTTATGATGGATGAATCAACATTTGGATTATCTCGTCGTGAGAAAAGGAGTGGAGGGTGTATAATTATGATTTATGTACCTCGTTATCCCAAGTGAATAACAAATAATAGGTCCTTTTATTTATTCCCCCAGTCCGCTTCATTCCACTGCATCGTATTTCCAATATCAAAGCTGCGCTCAAATGATTACTAACCCAAATGCTGGTTCAGGGTCTATTGTACCACTAGTACTAATATTAAAGAGATTCAAGAGAATACAGCACGAATTTGGGTTTGGATCTAAGGGAGACGGAGGAGAAAAGAGAGGGGGAGAGATGGGCACAAACAACCTGATTTTGAAGTCTCACGACTTTCCTCTAACTGGACAGGAGAATGTACAGCAAGGGAAGTGAGGCTTTATCAGGGTAAGTCTAAAGCTCGTATTGGTATGGCATAGAGTTTGTGGTTTGGGTTTATAAGGTTGCAGTGGAGAGGCTTGCAGGTCTGGGATTAATGAAACGATTGATTTTATTTGTAAGAGGAATAGATGGGCTTGGTGATGCTGGTTATGAGTAAAGACTTCTTACAGGGCTGATTGAGATGTTGATGTTATATTGTATTGGATATGAGTTGCATGTGGTATTGGAGGAGTATTGTACACTTCCATTCTCTCCTCTCCGGCCTTGAAGGAGAGGAGAGAGCAGCTAGTACTTGCTTAAATCAAGGAGAAGAGGTAGGTATAGTTGAACATGAACATGAACATGAAAATCGGAAAAAGGAAATATTATGAAAAGAAGAATTGAAAATGGAATTAGTTGAAAATTATTTTATACAAAGCTAAATCTAATACACTTTGTTTATTACTTTATAAAAATAATTGTTACTCTTTTTCAAGTAGCGCTTTTTCCGTGCCTGTATCTCAGACAAAAATCAAATACATCATTTCAATCATTAGGGGTGAAAAAAGAAAGAAGAATTGAAGAGGAGAATATTAAGAAGTAATTTATAAATATATCTTTCTTGGAGGGAATCTACACCAGCAGATACCTTATTGAGCTCCATTTACAGCCTCAAAATGGAACTATCCATTCTTTTAGTTATGAAATTTACAAATCCACCAGACTTCATTGATGTAGATCTCCAGTATAAAGCAAAAATTTTAGAGTCGAAATATCTGTGTCTACCGTCAGTAATGGTAATATAAATTTAGCGTAACTGAAACCACATTTTTACCTCATCGATTATTACTGATCTACACAAGTACCGAAGAAAAAGACAGCTATCACCACTTCCGTCCCACATTCCTTCCTTCTAGAAAAGAAAATATCGATTTCTGTTACCCATCTGATCTCATCTCATCACCGCCTATGGAGTATATCCACAATCCACAAGTTTTACCCGCAGTTCCTAATCCACAAGTTTATCCACAGCTCTTATCCACAATGTTAAGTCCAGAGTTCAAAGATGCAATTTGTTATAAACCCTAATTCATTCACGGCCGTATGATTTCATGAGGTAATGTACTGTTAAAGTTGGATGTCGGGTCATATCCACATCATGCGATGATGTAAATCAGCTAACCGCTATACCAGTAGAACTTTGTGATGGATTGAGGTGGAAATGACGGTGAGTTCGTGGTGAGATCTTTCTTGGGAATTGGAGTTGTTGTGATGAATGCCATTGAGTGAAGTAAATTATGTCACGTAGATATATCTATCTACTCCGTCATATCTCAAGACAGTCTACACCAGAATGTCCAATGTTCGAAGGTAAGGTTAAGGATCTGATCTTACCTAATCGTTCAATCGAGCTTTATTGTACAAATGCGTATAAGGTTATATAATAAAGTTCAATCCACGTCTCAATATGTACTCCATAGTTCATAACATTTAACCATAATTCATATATATAACATAATACGCAAGAGTCTTGGTAACCCTACCTATATTATCAAGCCACCGATCAATGCTTATAACGCTCGTCCGTGCATCAAGACTCTAGATCTTCAAAGTTTCCGCCACACCCGAACGAACTTACCCATTTGATCATCCACACAATATTCCTATCTGAGATTTCATTACTTCCTATATAATATTAATGCCGACCTCAATAACATCATCCATGATCACCACATCGCTTCTTTGTATCACCAAGACTTAGCCGGTATACCGCTTGTCGTGCTTATACGCCTCGACGGTTGAGTTTCGGGAGGGGAAGATTACGATCATCTCGTCATTTATTGGTGCGGTCAGAAAGGATCTCCTAAACCCGACCGTTTAAACGGTGTTTAAAAAAGAGGAGGAGGAGGAGGGGGGGAGCCTTAAAAATGGGTCCATTAAACCAATACAGAAAAAGATTTCCTAGCGTTTGGAACTTTTATACTTTCCCGTCAACGGCTGCATGAGCATTGAAAAAGTGACCTACTGTAAGGGGTAACACCCCTCATCTTCTGCATAGGTATCTGTAGGTACCGTACGGAGTACAGCATTACTAGTACTACCTACCATGTACGGATAACACCGTGGGAAGAAGCAACCCATCCACTGGCCAAATAAAAACATAAGCTTTCCACGCACATGAAAACCCCATACCCCACTCTTTAGGACTCCGGGAACGTGTTTCGATCCGGTAAAACCAAGGTGATCAAGCTCAGCCGCCGATGTACCACCATCGCTTTTCTTACCTATTTAATCCAAGCTTGTCCGAGAGCCCCGCTTCTTATCTTGCTGTCCAATTTGTCTACAGATACGGTATAATATTCGTCCGGTACTTCCACCACCTGAAGATGGTACGTACGTACGTAGGACAGTTTCTTCGGCTCCGTATTTTCTTGGGAGAATGTGGTAGGTGGTATGGAATATGTACGAGGTGATAATATAATGCCCATCTTTGACGTCCCAATGCAACGTGCTCAGAAAGAGTTTTGCCGATTGGGGGAATATATCCAGTAGGTGATCGTCATAATCATGAAGGTTGAACAGCGGGATGATGGATCTTTAATTTTAAATTTCCTTAAACAAAAACTCAATTCATTCCAGGGGACACAAAATCGAAGCTTAAATATGTAGTCATAAAGAGCTTGATGTCCATTCTTGTTTGTTCAATCCAATCAGTACTCTCATCAATCCTTCTCCTCCTCTTCTCTTCTCTTCTCTCAGAAATCAAGAATTCCTGCAATCTTCATCATCATGGTTGCCTTTGCCAAATCTCTCCAACTTTCCCTCTCACTCTTGGCAAGTACCGCCATAGCCATTCCCTTCCCATCAGAGCTCGAATCCCGAGCTGAAATCAACTCCGATGCCGTTGTGGGATTTCCCGAAACCGTTCCTAGTGGCACAGTAGGCACACTCTATGAAGCCTACAAACCATACCTCGATGTCGTAAATGGCTGCGTACCATTCCCAGCCGTTGATGCCGCTGGAAACACCAAGTAAGAATTCCTCCTAACCTCTCCGAAATGATAAGTTGAGTTTCTAACATCTATCTCTCAGTGCCGGGTTAAAACCAAGTGGCAGTAGCAATGGTGATTGCAGTAGTAGTACCGGACAAGTATATGTTCGAGGTGCTCAAAATGGTTCATACTACGGACTGATGTATTCCTGGTAAGCCAAGCCACCAACCCTAAAAACATCATAAGAACCCCAAACTAACCCAACACAGGTACATGCCCAAAGACGAGCCCTCACCAGGCATCGGCCACCGCCACGACTGGGAAGGCGTAATCCTCTGGCTCAGCAGCTCCACCTCCACCACCGCCAGCAACATCGTTGCCGTCTGTCCCTCCGCACACGGAGGCTGGGATTGCACCCGAGACCAATACACACTCTCTGGCACATTCCCTCTCATCAAATATGAAGGCATTTGGCCTCTCGATCATTCCTGTGGTCTTACCAGTACTCAGGGTGGACGACAACCGATGGTTGCGTGGGAATCTCTTACACCAGCTGCGCAAAGTGCGCTTGAGAATACGGATTTTGGAAAGGCGAATGTTCCGTTCAAGAATGCTAATTTTGAGAATAACTTTGTGAAGGCTAGTAGTTTCTAGATTTTTGGGGTCGAGGTGGAGTGAAGGGGGCTTGTGCTTATTGATCATTGATATCCTGTGGTGGTACTTTGATATTTATATTTATATTTATAATATTTGTTTTAGTGTATGATGTCTAGTTAAATTAATAAGATATTGTTATCTTTGGATATATTCATCTCTTATCTCGATTTAATATAATGAGAAGTTTATAATATACTCTATTGATTGTTTATTTAAATTTTATTTTTCCTAAGTTTTTACAAAATAACAAGATTTATTTATTCAAAATTAATTACCACACATTTATTCATTCATCCAAGCCCTACCATACACCTGATTTCATAACATATGTCTAAAATTAATCTTCAAATATTGTAATAAAATCATTTCAATCTATAATAACCTCACCAAATCATATTTAATTTGAATACAAATTATATCAAATGATAACAAATAAAATAGTTTATATTTTGAATAAATTTCAATTGATTTTGAATTGTGATTATAAAGGTTCAATTTTGAAAAAAATCAAATTTGAATACATTTTTGTTGATCAAGTATAAAAAATCATGTATTTTTCGGACAGACATTATGAAATCGGGTGTATCAAAATATCACTCCACAAATCATCATTCATAGTAATACAAGTAACGCATACAAACATTCTCAGAATCACAAGTTTACATCAACAACTTTCTCATTTATTTATTCCCTAGCTAATCTCCTCACAGCAATTACAATTACATTACAATATAATAACACAACAGTTACACCCCAAGCACAGCTACAACATAAAATACACATCAAATTCATATCCACTATACTCAATAACCGCAATTATACACCACCAAGCACCTATTGTACATCTTAATGTACCTATGTACATCAACAATCCGACGCGTCATATGTAATTAATTATCCGAAAAGAAAAGACAAGATCGAAGTAGTGTGCAGAAGAAGGTATTACCGAAAGTGTGACTTCAGCTACATGCGATGAATATAAGACATCATTTTGACAACGAAATATTGTGCTTCTGCTTTTTCAATTACATTAGTAAGTTTTGTCCGGTTAGAAAAGTATGTACTTGAGAAAAAAAAAATTCGGGTAATCTTACAGAAATCGTGGGGGATACGTTACTCTTTGGTTGGTGAACCGTGATACACTAGTGTACTCGTGATGTCATTGTAGTGTGTAGGTGTCTTTCAGACCAGATGCTCCATGTCATTAACAATTGCTCGAGCTCGATTCAATCAATAGAGAAGTCTCCTTTGAGGTTGAGTGAGACGATGTCCAAGGCATATCAACAACTCAAGCCATTCAAGGTTTCCTGGACTCATCCTGAAAACTGACCTTCTTAATAGTATTTGGCACCGATGACAATTCCTTGCTCCTTTCCTCAACAAGTTTTACACCATGTCCCGATCTCATATGCGCATTCAAAGTTTCCGCATCTCGATAGGTAAGTCCACAAGCATCGCATTTCAATCCAGCCGAAGTGTGAGAAGTTTCCAGATGTTTGTGAACATAGTCCCGACGAGTAAACTGCTTTGTGCAAAGAGAACATCCGAATGGTTTCCCTTTTGATTCATGTACAGCTTTCATATGTCGACCCAAATTACTTTGCGCAGTAAAAACTTTGCGACAAGAATTGACTGTGCAAAGATATTTACCTGAGGGTGATTCTCCTTCGGATTCGTCGGAATTAAATAGTGATAGCAAAGGGTTTACTGCCTTGGATTTCGAACTTTGGAGTGTGCTCTTGATTTTTGTACCTTCGAGTGTGCTCGGGGGGTATGACGACATCTTGGGAGTTGGAGGTGTATATTCATGCCACTTTGACGAAGCATCTATCTTTGACCATTTAGGAATGACGAACCTCTTCTCCGGTAATAGTTGTATCTGTTTATCTTTCGAATTGTCATCTGCAGAAGGTTTTGATTTCTTCAGTGACTGAGTGACAATTGAAGTATCTACAGACTCCTCCCATTTGCGCTTTTCGCTGGCCACTGTAGTCTGAGCAGAGATGTTTTTTGGTGGTGGTTGTGGTTGTTCTGGATCCTTTCTAGCAAATTTCGCAACAGGAAATCGGCTTGATGGTAATTGGGAATCTTTCTTGGCAGACTTCAGATTTGTAGATGGTCTTGGCTCCTCTTCCACTTCTCCCTTCTCTTTTGGAGCTGGCGGTAACGAATCCTTTGTGACTCTGTTGATGAAAGGTAAGCTTTGTGGGGGTTGGTTGATCTTGGAGTTCGAAGTCTTGCGGATTAATTGAGGCGCGACGGGCGGATTGTAGATGATATCTTCATCACTGGTATCTGCAAGAAAAGATTCGACCACAGCTCTAGCATCTGGATACTTGACACACAAACGCAACAATATTTTGCCAAGTTGATCAGCACTAGACGATGTGATAGCGTCTGCCAAGGGTTGAAAGAATCGTCGCTTGTCAGGATCAATTGAGATGAGTATAATCGATGACTTTGAGACTGGAGACTCTCTTCTCAGAGGCTTGGGATTGGATGAAGTACGATTTTGACTATCAAACTCGATGGTTGGCTTTTGGGGCGGAGGAATAGAATCTGTATTGGTCAAGGTTGTTTCATTATCTGAATCAAAGTCGGTTTTTGCCTTTACATTTTTAATTGTAATATCCTTCTCTTCCTCGGGTGTGATGGGCTTCTCTTCCCGAAGAGGCGGTACCATAGCTGGCGATATGGATGCGACCGCATTGGCATCTTGCAATACCTTCAACTCGTTGAGTACTTTAGCTTCTTCCAATGCCTTGGCTTGTAATTCTTTGACTTTTTCGGCTTTTCTCTGTGCTATACGGAGTTTGACATCTGAGGGCCTTCCAGTATCGGATTGATCGACCATCGTGGCAAATGCAGCAGTTCTCTTAATTTCCACTTAATTTGACAGGTCGAACGATCGGAAGCGAAATATGATGTATTTATTTTTGGGCGCGTCTGTAGTATTTTACAGAATAAAATTGAAGAGGAAGGAAATTATTTGTACAAGAAATGAGATTTCGCATGGAAAAGTGAGAAAAAAATAGAGAGGGGAAGAGTCGCAGTCGTTCAAATCACTATTTACAATTTGGTTGAAGTGGATGAGGAATAGAAAAGAGGGAATACGCAGTAGATAGGTACCTAGATGCGAGGTAAAGAAAACCAACATGTTGGTTAATTATGTCTATCACCCCATGCAAAAATAAAAGAAGAAGAACAACAAAAACAGGAGCGAGGGAAATCATCCCATCATAATTTATTATTCGATTCGCGAAAAGAGTTCGCGTTCGTGACTGCCAAATTTTATTCCCGAAACACCAAGTCACGAGATCAGATCATTGGTCAGATGATTGGTCGAATGAGACTCGTATTCATTGAGAGTAAGATCGATTGAAACACATCAATCATTGCATTTTGAAAAGTTTAGATACCTACCTATACGTATTGGGTGGATGTGGCATTCAACCATGTTCCCATACATTTTTATATTATATCTTCTCAAAAATCATCACCATCCAAAAAATATTTGATAATCTCAATTGAAGCTTGATTATTCCATGTCGTCCTCCATTTTATTAGTCTTCCATCCTCTAATTAACGCGTATATATTTTGGGAGCATACAGGAAGGATCCTTCAATATTGCATAAGAATTTTGATTGTTACATTGGATTCCTGCTCAGTCTGTCAGTCTTTAGTAGTTCTCGATTCTGATGTGGCTATTTTTAAGGCAAGACCCCGAGACTGCAGTTTGAATACATCTGACTTTGAATCTTTCAAAGTATTTCAATTGTGTTGAAGTTATTTTCACACAAATCACACACTCCAAATGATTCAATGGTCATGCGATTTCAATGTCTGAAATGATTTCAACGCTTTAAACGACAAAAGATTTCAGTGCTCAATGCTCAAAAAACCCCCTCATTATTGGATCGCAGTCCAGACTCTTAGACAAACCGATTCCATATCATGGCAACTATAAGCTGAAAGCCATCTTAGCAGCAAGGAATTTCATCTCCCTGCCCTTACATTATTAAGATTTTCCAACATCATTTTATTGGTGGCGTGATGTGAAAAAGAAATTTCTACTCAAATTGTTCATCTTTGAGACCTACCTGTAGACTACTGCTGTATGTCTTACCATCAACTCCTGCATTCGATTCGATATATCTCTTTTCCCTCTATGGTCGAGTCACCATTTGAGCTTGCGCAATCTCTTTCCATAATCATGGTTGATAGTTCTCAGCCATATTCTCCAAGCTGGCCTGAATCAACTTTTATGCCGTGCTATTTTGTCGAGGAACATATGGATTTCCCCCTATCCCTTAGTAGCTTCAAGTATTTGCCTACACATCCAGTTATTTAGTATTTCAATATTCCCTACCTTATTCCATTTCTTACTTCTCCTTCATTCTCATCATTAATTATCCTTCTTTTCGCATTTAAGCCCTCCATCTTCTAGAGCTGCGACCACGCCAATCTTTAAGCATCACTCGTTTTGCTCAAAGCAATCATGGCACCACGTTCGTTAAGAGATTCTTTATTCTTGGCCGCCACCTTTGGTGTTGCAAGTGCAAGCATCAAATTAGAAGGTCGTTATCCTCAGCATCGGGATCTTATACCCCGTCAGGCAAACTGTCCACTTCCGGTGACAATCACTGTCACTGTCCCTCCAAGTTATTGTCCAACGGTGCCACCTTCTAGTAGCGCGACATCTTCGGCTGTTGCTACATCAAGTGTGGGATCTGAATCGATAACAAGTACCGCGCCAATTTTCTCCAGCCAATCGACTTCGATTCCGGCTGTGAGTAGCAGTATTCCAGTATCAGTTTCGAGTAGCGAGTTGCCAGCTTCAACTTCAACTGCGATCAGTTCTGGAAGCCTTTCCTCTTCCATTGGTTCTGTCTCATCTGAAGCCAGTGTGCTGCCAACTTTTTCGAGCTCGGTGTTCTCATCATCGGTACTCCCGTCATCGGTAGTCTCATCATCAGCACTCCCATCATCGGTACTTTCAACTTTCAGCATTTCGGAATCGCAAGTATCCTCGGTATATTTTTCGGTCAGCAGCACTTTATCATCGGAAACTGTTCCAACCAGCAGTAATGCTGAATCCACAGCTCCAGCATCCTCCTCGGCGGCCGTGGGAACATCAACACCGGCCTCTAGTACCTTTTCCGAGCAATCCAGTTTTTCAAGCGTAGCTACCTCTTCTGGTTCTTTGGTCCCATCATCATCGGCAGTGCCAACGGAATCAGTTACTCTCAGCAGTAGTGTACCTTCAATTTCCAGTAGTCAATCCGCAATTTCTTCTGCTGGAAGTTCAATTGCATCTGAGACATCTTCCTTCTCAGGAAGCAGTGCCTCACTTTCTACCTCGGTATCCGCAGCACCTAGCTCAGTTTCTGAAGTCAGCAGTACGGAAAGTCTCTCATCGGCGGCTTCCACATCGATTTTCAGCTCAGAATTCGGAACTTCGACATCCATTCCAGCCGCAAGTAGCAGTTTCTCTTCGGAGACAGTGGTTTCTAGCTCGGCCATTGTTTCATCAAGTTTTGCTATCGAAACGAGTGTCTCAAGTTTATCTTCCGGAGCTGTCAGTTCTGTTCTTTCAACCTCCTCTTTGATTCCACCGGTATCATCATCGGCTGTTTCTGAGGCGTCATCAACTTCGATTCCCATCACCAGTAGCATCTTCTCTTCCGAGCCAGTAATTTCAAGCTCGGCCGTTCTTTCATCAAGCTCTGCTGTTGAGACGAGTGCCTCGAGCTTTTCCTCTGGAGCTTCGAGTTCTGTTGTTCTGAGTTCTTTGATTCCATCGGTATCATCCTCGGTCGTCTCTGAGGCATCGTCAACTTTCGCTAGTTCTACTGTCTCCGAATCAGCATCTGCATCGGCGTCAGCATCAGCAACCGCCTCCGGTAGCTCAATTGTCCCTGAGTCTTCATTCGCATCTTCGACATTTGCTTCAAGCTCCGAAAGTGGTCTTCCATCAAGCTTAAGTTATATCGTCATCAGTTCCACGATTCCAGTATCGTCATCCTCAACCCCAGGATCTATATCATCTACTGAATCTGGTTCACAATCAACAGTAACTTTGAGTTCCCTTCCTGTCCAATCTTCTGCTTTTAGCTCGGAATCCACACCTGCACCCAGCAGTTCGTTAAGTTCGTTCGGACCAACTTCCACTCCTGCTGTATCCTCTATTGTCGTTTCATCATCTGCTGCAATAACCTCAAGTGCTATTTTGTCAAGTGCTATTTTGTCAAGTGCTATTTTGTCTAGCTCTGCTGCGGAAAGCTCAAGTGCTACCACCACAGGATCATCAATCCCTGGACCAACACAAGTTCCAATCATCGATATTCCAATTGGCGAATATGCGGAATTCGGTTGCTTCTTAGATTCCACCTACAATGGTTTCCCATTGACCCCACCTCCTACACCAATTGGTGGCAGCACTGATCCATCAGTAATTGATTCACCCGAGAGCTGTGGATTATTTTGTTCCACCGCCAACGATGGTGACGCATTCGACTTCATGGGTATCGAGCCAGGCCACTGCTATTGTTCCAATGGATATAATTTCGGTCAAGCGGAGGGTATTTGTAACTTCCCATGTCCAGCTAATCCATCTCAATCATGTGGAGGACTTTCACCAGTCAGGAGATTTTCACGTCGTGCCGGTCCCCCGTCAATCGTCACTTATCAACTCCGCCGTCGCATCATATCTTCTTCTGCTATCAGTTCATCGCCAGCTACTTCGTCTTTGGCCCAATCTTCTGGTAGTATTGTATCATACTCTGCTGCTTCTGCTACTCAATCTGCGTCGGCAAGCTCTACGGAATCAGTCACTTCAAGTGCTGTACTTTCATCCAGTGAAGCTGCTAGTTCTTCCTCAATTGCTGCAACTTCCTCGATTGTCGTGACTTCCTCGAACATCCCATCCAGCTCCTCAGTGCCAACCTCATCTGTCATTTCATCGGCCGAACCATCTAGCATAAGCAGTAGCAGTGTTGTATCATCAGCTGAATCTACCTTGAGTCCAAGTAGCTCCCAAGGCCCAAGTTCTGTTCTACCTACCAGCTCGGCGTTCTCTTCTGCTCAACCAGCTTCCTCTGGTGTTATTTCGAGCTCTCAACCGGCTTCGAGTAGTGTTGAGCCATCGAGCAGTCAAGTCAGCAATCTTCCATCGAGTTCCGTTGAGCCATCATCTGTTGCTTCATCTGTGGTCCAAGAGTCCAGTACTATATCCAGCATTGCTCAACCAAGCAGTTCATCAGCCTTGACGTCCAGTGAACCTCCAATCTCATCTTCAGCCGCTTCCACGACACCACAACTCCCAAGCAGTACTCCATTCTCATCCTCAGCTGCTTCTTCTATCCTTCCAAGCTCATCAGCAGCACCCTCATCATTCTCTACCCTTACGTCATCAAGTTCACCTTCGAGCACCACATCCACGTGCCCAGCAGCAACAATCACAAACGAAGGTTTTGAATCCGGAGCCTTGGCACCCTGGGCCCCACGAAGCGATGGTATCGCCAACGCTAAGAGTAACGTCGTGATCAACAATCCAGCCGTTGCGCACTCGGGTAACTCTTACCTGTAATTATCCCTGATTTCTACTCTTTAACCTCTCATCCACACCTCCACCTCCTTAAAAAAACTAACCCAATGCTAACAACAACCCCCTTCCACAGCCAAATAACCATGACCCAAGACTTTCTCTCCCTAATCCAACAAACCACCACCATCTGTCCCACCACCAAATCCCTCACCCTAACCGCCTGGGGCCAAGCCGCCAAATCCCACGATTGCTGGCTCCAAATCTGCGTTAACAAAGATACATACTGTTCAGTTCCCACTCCATTAAAGAAAGGCAAATGGAAGAAAAACACCCTAGTATACAAGCCACGCAAAAATCTCATCGGAAAAACCGACGCCAAGGTGCAGATTTATACAGAGTGTAGAGGAGAAAGTGACGGAATGTTATTGATAGATGATGTGGTAATTACTCGATCGAAATTGTCGTCTCGAGAGGTCGTGCCGCAATTGGCGCCTAGAATGGGAACGTTGAGGATGATTGGTGCGTAAGCGATTGGGTGGGGATTTGAATTAGTGTGCTTTTCTAGTGGGTTTTGTACTTTTTTTTTTCTTCTGATTCTTCGGGTGGAAGGCCCGTGCGTTGTGGGTTAGGTGTCGTGTGGAAGGAAGCGAAATGTGGAGGAGCTAATTTGGGATAAGGCTTAGTTAGTTAGTTAGGGGCTAGTCTGGTGTGACGCGAACCTTTTTTATTTTTATTCTTTCAGAACAATCTACCTACCTACCTTTTTTGATTTTTGATTCTTTTTTCTTTCTTTCTTCCCTAGGGTGGATTTGGGGTTTTAGGGTATACTTATGATGAAAATTCTTGATTATGGAAGAATAACGATGGATGGATGGTTTAATTTGATGGATGGTTTTGGCTTATCTTGATGTGTTAGCTATATATGAGATCGGATTAGATTATATCTATAGTAGAGGAATGTTTTTAATTCGAGATGGTGTTGCTTATCTCTTGGTTCGTTTCTATTTGAGCTAATTCTTGTCTCGCGGCCTTGATTTTACCATCAACCAAATTATTCTAGTCATACAAATTCATCTCTTGGGAAAAATGGCGGTGGGACAAAAAATAGCCTAGAACCCCTCATTCCCCTTCTCTCTTACTTATTACATTTTTCGCCAAAATGAAATAGAAAGATAGTGTGGGTGTGTGGGTGGGGTTCACGCACGCTGTACTCAAGTGTGTGTTAGCGTTGGCTGCGACCGGTGACAAAGTTACTCTGGGTAACTTTAACTCCTGGTCTTATTTCAAGTTCACCGGTTCTCCTTGTTCGAGATTTGCCGCTGACTCCTTTTTTTATTCATTTTTTAAAGATAAATTGAAATTATATTAGCGAGTATATAATCGATTCAGATGTAAGGATATTTTTTCTTTAATTGACCATATGTACCCTAGGAATACCGGAAAGAACAAGGGTGGGCAAGGAGGATTCGTTAACCGCGTTAGTTTCTTGTGGGCTGGCTGAATTAAGCGACGTAAGCTACCAAAAACTCTAAGTGGGGCGTCACGTCATCACCAATGATAGCGCTTGTGGGGTTATCATCTGATGTTTTGACACCTAACATTTTATTTGCACCTTACTCGAGTAATCACCTATTTATTACAACATTATATATGAAATCTTATTATCCAATACATCAACTCCTTCGCTTCCTTCATAAGTCTATCTGGTCTTGATATATCATTCCTATATTCCCACTCCATTTAAATTTCCTTTCCCCATCTTTTCCGTAAGCCCCGCAATCTATAACTCCAATCAATACCTTTATCGCGGGTGTTCAAATCACCTCCCTTATATTCATGTCATATCTGTAATCGAATAACCCAAGCCCGGAACCTTTTGGCAAGTGCTAAAGAAAAGCATTATCGAACTCCTAGTTCTTTCGGCAGGCAGCAGCGATCGTATAGTTTTGGGTGATCGATAAGTTATTATTGTAGGTTTGGTGGATGAGTGACGAAGGTCTGGGTAACTGTCATGATGCATAATCCAAGCCCAAAACAATTTGAGGAGCGCTAATGGCCGCGAGCCTTGGGAGAAAAAACATTATCGAACTTTTGGATGCTTTTGGCAGCAGCTGTTGTATAGTGTTGTATGACTGATGCTTGGTCATTATAGGTTTGGGTGGATGATACATAAGTGGTTGAGTGATGAGGGTGTTTGAGAAAGGTTTGAATGCGGTTAGACGAGAGACGAGATTGTTCGATGGCGGATGTTTGAGGAGTGGAAGTGGAAGCCGAAGTGTAGTTGTGACTGAGTGTGAAGGGGGTATGTGAGTACGGTTGATAAATGGAAGCAGGCAGAGAGAAGATTAAACATTACAAAAGAAAGAATGGATGACATGTGTTAGGAATGATGAGAGGATTCCGGGAGTCATAGAAGCATGTGGCGAAGAGAGAAATAGAAAGAGGATGGGAGAAAGAGAAGGTATAGGTGGAAGCGTGGTTAAAAAAAAACTTGGAACGAGTGGCCATCAAAGAAGAAGAGCGCAAACGACGAGTGAGTGTGAGTTCAGATGATGGATGTGGGAATTGAGCATCAAGTAAGACAGATGGTTCAATGAGAAAAGATCCGGATTTAATAAAAGAGGAAAATGAGCGGGAAAGGAAGCAGTAATACGACAGCGGAGCATATACAAGCAAAGTGAAGAGAGACAGTGTGCACTGGATGACGGATGAGAAAAATGGAATGTGAGGGATGATATGGAAGAGCAGAGGGCTCAAGAAGACAAATGAAGAGAATAAACTTACTCAGAAGTGGCAGAACCTTGTACGGCAATGTTGAAAGTTTGGCTGGACATGGTGATGCTGTCACAGGGTATTTGCGCGTGGTGAGTATGTATATTCGAGATACTTGAGATGGAAAGCGAAAAAAAATAGTAGACAATGGACTTGGGGAGATGAGAGACGGAGGATGGGTGTTATTGAGGAAGAAGAGGAAGCCATATATATAGGTTCTTGAGAATCAAAATCCACCTGAAATCCGATTCAACATATCTGGAAATGCCAAAGCCTTCTTCAGATCATTTTTGCTAACTGATTAAACACCCGAAACTGTATGTTCTTTACCTAAAACCTACCCAATAACGGAACTAGGCTCAAGCTTGGACTAGCTGCAACCTTTCTCCGCTTATTGGTCGGTGGTAAAAAGGACCTTGCAGTATGTATCCTTCCTGCATGCAGTGATGGATATGACTGAGCGCTGCATAGTTTTTAGCTCGCGGTTTTTAGCTCGTGGAAACTCCAAGAGCTATCCGCCGGTCCCAAATCCAGAGTCCTTATCATCCTGGTACATCCATTGCATGTCAGACGCCCCAGGCACGAATGACAAGGCTCGCCTCATCGCCAATGTACCCGCTCTATCCGATGTCAAAAATCCAAGCCGGTATTGTCTCAATTGCTTCCCTCCTTCGTAGATCGTGTTGTTCTGGTGAGCGGGTAAGGACATTAAATCTGAAATACAACATTTTTTTAAATTTCCAAGTCAAATGCCAATTATTGACTAAAGAACATTCTAAATCATTATCGCAAACTTTGAAATTGACATCGACAAGATCTTTATTGTAAGTTGACTTTCTGGTATTACAAAACTAATCACTATTAATTCAGGGTTACTATCATCTATTTAATCCTCTATTCTACTAATAAAAGAATTATTGTAAAACAATACTGATATAATAGGAATATTAAACTAATTCTAATATGTACTCAGAATATACATACTTATTCCAATTGTTAAATTATATCTATAATCAACTGAGGTACCCTTTTATGAAAGATAAGGGGCGTGAAGAATTGGGCCTTTACATTGTGGTTGTTTTTCGCTAGAATACTTCGGTGAGCAAATCGTGAACTTCATCAAGACACTTAGTAAATTAATTGCTCCATTTTTTTGAGTTTCCTTGTCAGCCCGATTCTAGAAGTTTTAGTGCGCCAGTGCGCCAGTGCGCCAGAATCCCTTAAGAGTTATCCTATCATCATCCTTCCCTTAGTAACCCCATTGATAAGATTTACGTAGTAACATACAGTGGGATTGAGCCGTCTTAGATAGTCATAGACTCAGTGTAGACGTTAATTTAATCAATCAATCAATACAGTGGGATTGCGGTGGGATCTGTAGGTGGAGCCTGTGACGCCTCACACCTCCGGGTCACGTGGCATGCCCCGTTTGTATTTAATCATAGGAAAACTCTCTACTCTTGTTTTCCTTCTTCTTTTCTCCTTAGCTTAGTATTTTCTAATACAAGATACTTTACCCAGTATTCTTGAGTGTGACAGAGCCTTTCAATGATCTAAAGATATGTTTTATTGGTTACTTGAGTATTTTTTTTTCCGTTTAACTCGGATTTGATTTGTCCGGCTACCTTTTTGTATCAATCAATCGAGTTTTCAATCATTTATATTATTACAATTACAATTACAAAATTAATTTTACTATTATAGTAGTATATTAATAGTTATCTAAATATTAGGATAAACAAACGAATTTGGGAACTTTCGCTGTTATTAATTGTAACGATACTATACTGGAGGCAGCGGCTGCCTGAGGTTTCGTCGGTTGGTAGTTATGGGTTAAGGCTTTATCACTGGTATTCACTTGAAAGTGAATTCGTTACTAGATCAAATAGAATGTAGGTAAACTAATTGATAACTAAGTTGAGCACGAAGCTCTTAAACTATGAAACTATCTTAACTATATACTTCCGAATACTGTTGGATAGCCTGGATAGACTAGGCTATCCAGTCTATCCATCACGTGATCCTTTAAAGGCCTCAGGACATTAATCCTGGGACGATTCTGATCCTAGGATAATTGTGATTCGTGACATTAATTTTCTATCCCTTATTTCTTTCTTTTCATGAATACTGATCTCGCATTTGGGAAACTCTTCTCTCATACTTCTTCCGAGTCTTGTCTCTCATCATCGCGTCTTGGAAATTGCAAAATTATATCCACCCTAATAGTTGTTCATACTGGAGCGGGTATTGAAGTCTGAAGTGTGCCTTGAGGATGAGTGCTACTACAGGGCTTTACAGAATTTTAGCACTACAAGAGGCCTGTAATCTAGCACTTGAACCATTTGTCTACTGATTAGCATGCGAAAAATTAATTCGAATGAAATTATAGAGTTTTAATAAGTTTTTAAGCTTAATTTGGTATTGAGTTCTATGAATCGATTTGATAGGCTTTTTAAGATGCTGGCAGGGTTGTGTCAAATTGTCAATTGAATGGTGATCAAACTGTAAACCAACTGATTACCAAACTATTGATCCATCGGAAAAAATCTCCTTCAAAACCATGCCTCCCTGCTCGGAATAAGCTTTTATCAACATTTTATGAAACAAGACCAGTGATTATCCCAGTAAGCAATGGTACCACGTATTGTAACAGTCGCATCTTCCGAGTAGATTGGGCATATTGCCCAACTTCTAACCCACCAGTTAATCGTACCCACCCACCGACGCTGCTGATCTGATGTTGATTATTCGTGCTTACTGTCAGCGCAATAAATAAGCTTTAAGCACGTAACCTTCCTACCACAACAAAGGGTGGACCAACCCTCCTCAATCTTAATTAGTAAGCAGTTGTGTACCATCTAGCTATTAAAACTGGAGGGAAAGGGAGAGAAGTTGAATTTCCGAAATCTGAAAGTAGTACAGAATACAAGAATCATAGCTTAATCATCAAATTTGAAGTTATTTATACTAATATGAAATTATTTATCCATACTAAACCTTATTACACGTAAAAATCTCAGTCTATAGTTAGAACAAGTTATAATCTCAAAAATGATGAGTTTATTGATCCTCGATCAGATCAGTAAATCACTGATCCGCTGCTTCTATACGGCATAGCAACATTATACAAGCATCTCGATGACCTTATCTGGTCACCGCTTGGAAGAAACTACTAAAGGCACATTACATCACGTTTATGTTATCTCCAATAAAATCTAGCAGAGCTTCACCAACTTTTCACATTTCGTTGCACGCTAAGTTCTACCTTAAAGTCATCTCCAGCTTCCACCAGAGCTACGGGTAACCTCCGTAATGCCCCGGGTGTCAGGGTACAGAAAATTGGATTATCATAATGATTAAGCTATCCACTGCACTAACTATACTCCTACAGAGGTGTCTGCCCTTATTTTTGTCACCGCTTTTTCTGCCGGCAATATTATTTGCTTGATTTCTCAATAATATTGAGGTGGATCGAATGTGATTTATATACAGTACTTGCACACAGATAATAACCATTCCCTTGTTTTACATCAAAACTTATAATAAACATTTTAAAGTTTTATATATTCAATCTTTATTGTGACGCCTCACACCTCCGGGTCACGTGGCATGCCCCGTTTGTATTTAATCACAGGAAAACTCGCTACTCTTGTTTTCCTTCTTCTTTTCACCTTAGCTTAGTATTTTCTAATACAAGATACTTTACCCAGTATTCTTGAGTGTGACATTTATTTTATATAATTTAATTTATTTAATTTAATTTATTTTCAATTGAAATTTTCAAAAATTAAGATTATGTGACTGTCACGATTCACCATCACGTCGGACAAGTATGGATCACGTGATGGAGCCTCCAGGAGCATAGGCTCCTCCAGGCTCCTGGAAAGGACCAGTATATAAACATTCATTATTTTCATAGTATAGGAGCTTCGTGCTTAACTTAGTTATCAATTAGTCTACCTACATTCTACTCGATCTAGTAACGAATTCACTTCCAAGTGAATACCAGTGATAAAGCCTTAACCCACAACTACCAACCCGACGAAACCTTAGGCAGCCGCTGCCTCCAGTCAGTATCGTTACAGGTTTATAACTAGGCGTCAAATAGGGACTTAAGTAATGACAATAATGATATGCAATTTGTAACTAATAGTAGAGTATACTGAATGATTGATCTTGAGCACGAAGCTCTACAATAAAGAAATTCATACTGAATATATAGATCTTCATGCTCCCTTGGATCCTTTTGGATCCTCAAGCTCCAAAAGCTCCAAGTCACGTGTTTTCTGACGGTGCGTGCGCATACGGTCCCAAAGTGGCCCAGATCACATATTAATTCGATGAAATCTGATCGCTTTTGCACAAGGCCTAAGCTCTCCTAATTAATCAGTTGTTACCATCGTAACATAAGGGAATTCATTCCTGTATAGATTATCAGAAAAGTGGATTATTATAACGTAATTTATCACCGAGTGGGCCATATCACCGAGTGGGCCACTTTCACCTCAATTTACACTTTCAAGTACATATTATTCAACAACAATTGAATCAATTGATTGAAACTATTAGGAATCTAATAATCTAGGATCTATTATATTGATTTGACAAGTTCTTGAATTATGACCTGGCTTTCCACACTTACTACAGCATCTACTAGAAGATGCTTCCCCATTAGAATTCCCCCCATTTTGACGCTCGTCGCGTTGAATCTGAATATCAACCTCTTGCTGAGATAATATATCCATAGCTTCTTGTCCAGTAAGTACTCCTCCTTGCCGTAATTGAGTTTTTTTTGCACGTCGATGTTTGCTTAATGCCTCATTTGCCTTCCGAAGTGTACGGTTTTCTGCACTTAAAAGTGTATTTTCATGTGCCAATCTTTCTGTGCCTTTAGCTAAAGCTAGTACAGTTTTGAATATAGGTGTAGGAGAGCTTGATTGATGACGAGATATTCGAGATTTTACTAAAGTTGATTGAGAAAGAGCTTCAGTTGGATTGTGAGGGGTTTGAGAGATCCAAAGATCCAAATCGAAAGGAGGAGTAGGTGTATGAATTCGAATATCTAATTTTGAGAGTACAGCTTCGGGATTAAATGGTATTAATCCAGCTCCTCGAAACCCAGCTTTCATATTCTGAACTGTAATTGATTCTTGATATGCAGCTTTAAAAGCTATAAAGAATTCAATCTTGGAGATATGATTGATATGTGCCTTGATAAATCCATCAATTTGACAACCATACGAACGTTTTAGGACACTAAAACACCCAACATCAAGTGGTTGAGTTAAATGACTTGAATGCGGTGGTAATCTTATACATATAATATCATTTTCCTTGCAATATGACTGAAAAGATATTGATTCATGACTTTCGTGTCCATCTAATACTAACATTCGATATTTGCCCTTTCTTCGATGAATCGTATGTTTATCGAAATGCTTTAACCATTCTAATCCTGTCTCATTATTCGTCCATCCATTGGAAGTAGGTTTGATAGCCCAATCCGCAGGAAAATCGGTTTCGGTGTACCAATTGGAAAGATGGATTTGTCCTTGAACTACCAGAAATGGAGGTATAGTTTCACCCTCCCCATTACCACATATAATTGCTGTAGCCCATTCTCGATTGCCTGGTTGTACTGCTTTACCTCTGCCTCGTCGTTCAGCATCAGTTACAACCATTGCAGCACTTATAATCCCCATCATAAAGCCTGTTTCGTCGAAATTATAGAAATCGCAATCCAGAATACCATATTTTGCTCGCATATTCGATACCAATCGAAACCACTCCTCAAGAAGCTTAGGGTCTTCGCAGAGAGCTCTTTGAAAATCATAAACACGACTAAAACGCGTCTTTAATTCTGTATGACGCTTTACGAATCGATGAGCCCAGAGCTTTCCAACTTTCTTCGCATTTCTTGATTCAAGAATATAATTCGCCATATCTTCTACACCCTTGATTTTAGGTGGAAATCCTCTTCGATCCATATCAAGTATGTATTCAACAATCACTTTCTCTTCCAATTGTGTAATCTTATAGCAATTCGCTCGAGTTTCTGTACATGGAGTTAAACCATCCATTCTGTAGCTGATCGTTGTGCGAGGTATATTATATAGTTGAGCAGCCTTCCGAATGCTTAGTTTTTTATCTTTTTGAAAAGCTTCGATAGCTAAGAGTAAACGTGCTTCTTTATTTGTAGATTGCATAATAAATGGTTGATAAAACGCGTGTTGAATATGAAGAGTGTGAATTGAGGTGAAAGTGGCCCACTCGGTGATATGGCCCACTCGGTGATAAATTACGTTATCCACTATATTAAATCATATCTCTAAGGGTATGAGAACCCATTTATTTATAAGCTGTATACCATTTCCGTACTAGCCTCTGTTCCTGGTACCCACCTTGTGTTTAGCATGTGAGGTTATATATTTGTTAGTGGTGGAGAACTTGTGGATGATAATACGGGGCGATCACATGATCTGCGTTAAACTTCGAAAGGAATACCCACTTTCGGATAACTTCGACTTCCGATTTTAGGCCCGCTCAAAGCTCAGAAATGATCCTCGCGTGGCTGATCTTCTATGCATGTGCGAACGGCCGGGAAGTGGCTTTCATACGTTCGGGATTCGCGCTTCGCGGGTCTCATATGGTAACCCTTGTTCGTCCCCCCCTGTATGACTGCAGGCATATCATTTGGGGACCCACTCGAAGAGGAAATAACTAGATACCTACGACGTTACTACTGGCGGCAATGGATTGTTTTTATCCTTTTGTGGAGATCTTGGAATTTTACTTTGACTCGCTAGGACCCTATATTCGATGGCCGTTTCGGGAAACTTCAGTATCGTCACGTCCTCATTTGATAATTCTTATGAATTGCAGAATCTGGAAAGTTTTCGGTCAGCTTTGAAAATAACGCGAAAGTCATGACCACCTGACACCATGAGCCTGTACCCTTCCTTACTCGAACCAATTCCCAAGAATAGTTTACATACCTACATTTTATTGCTTGCGATATGAAGTTGAAGAGTCTCATCAATACATCTCAGTAAGATTAAAAGGAATAGTTGAATCACCAACAAACCCCTTTGATATACTGAGCAGTACAAAGCGATTGGGTTTGGAGAATTTCAATGCAACAATCGCATAATGAACCATGGGTTTTTTCCATCTCCATCAAAGTGTTTTTGGAAGATTTTATGTGCGTTTCGTGTTGCATGCATTATTGAGGATTTTCGTTCTGCGTTATTGCATCTATCTACCTGATGTGGCACGCCCCACTCTCATGTTGGCTGCAGCAACACTAGCTTACATGCGCCAATCGGCAATAATCAATAATGCAACATTGGCTTATGGCGATATTTAGTCTCACCGTTCTATGAGTATCACTTATTCCATAACTGTTATATGATGTACAACTAGTTGAGAAGGCTCGAACCTGTTCAATAATAGACGTTTCGCAAAAGATTAAGCGAGAATTAAAAGGAGAAGCTTTGAAGTGTTTGTCGACGAAATTATTTACTCCTACAACATACGCCACCTAGAACATGCCACCAACCACTCAATCCCATACACTATAATTGTTGCCAAAGAAGAGAAAGTTACTCATAAAATCATCTATTCATCAAGTGATCTCCTTACTCCATCCGAGTTCTGCCTTATAGTTCTTGTGGTCACCTTCCCTTGAACATCCAAGCTTTCACCATCTAGGCAAGAATTTTAAGAGCTAGTGCTATTTCTCTCTTTGGAAGCATCATTGCCATCGCCGCTATCCTGGGTCGCATTACCATCAAAAACCTCATCGAACTCCTTCAGAAAGGTACCCATCCTATACCCGGCGACCGCAACTTTACCGAGCTGTTTGTGACCACCGGATCTGGTGGTATTGGCCATGGTTGCAAATGGAACAGAAGTTTCTGGATCGGCGAGGTAACTTTGAATACGAAAGGCAGTAATTATTCGGTATTCTGCGGATCTTGTGGATGAAAGGGGTTGGGATGAGGGATTGTTTGTGCTAGACGAGGAGAGATAACGGTCAGAATACGTTGAGGCGATGCGACAGGAATAGATCATAGAAGTAATGAATGTTTGGAGAGGTTGATGAAATTAGGTAGGAGATAGTAGCAGAAAGCGAAGGCGGAGATAAATATTGGAGTGAAGAAACGAAAGCAGTTAGGGCATAAAGATATTAGGGTAGGCTAGAAACAAAAATAAAAAAGGCCGGAAGGAGAGACCATCTTGTTGTGGACTAGCTAGAAGAGTAAATGGAAGTTTGTTGTTTTCCTCGATAAATAAAAAAGTCGCAAAGCGGTTTACAGGAGGTAAGGTTAGCTTGGTGGAGGAGAAAGTTCATTCTCCCAAACACCTGTAAGAGATGGAGAAAAATAAAAAAAAGTTCTTGCTTACTAATAGACATCGGAGTCCTTGGGGATAACATTGGAGACTCGGCCGGCCATGGTTTCGAACGAGACGGGGTTGTAATATGGAAACGGATATATGATATTGCGAGAATTGACAAGCACGTGATCGTTTCGGGAACGCTTTGAAAATCGAAAAGGAAGACGCTGAAAGGATAATAAAATGATGGAGGGAAAGTTTGCAGTGGGCAAATAATCTCGAGGATATAACAGTTTTTATACATGATTTCTACTAGATGAATATACTGATCCTACTTTGTCTGGCTTTCGGGGGCAGGATAATCGAGGCAAAGATAAAAAGGGTGGTTTTCAATCAATTGGTACAGACTCTCTGTTTTAGAAAAGCAGAGCTAGAATAAAATGTGGGTAATTGATCCTGGATATGCACACTTCTGTACAAAGTATGCAAGCTGCAAAACTTTGTCTAGCGCCGGAGAGACGGGTGGGGACGAGTCCATTCACCGAAATGTGGTTTGCAAACCCCCTTCGTATTTTGATTGTGTGAGTAAAGATTCTAGAGGTATGTGTGAATTACCGATCAAAGTTATAATTACCTTTAATCATTTGAATAAATGTGATTTATTGCTTTATTTATATTATATAATATTATTCTTTACAATCGTTACCGGGTATACAATCTTATGTAATACTTACCCCATAGCACCCAACATCCAAGAATCCAGCTGTCTGCTTCAAATACTGTGATGATAAGTGATAAGAGGATGTTGGTTTTGAGGGGCATTACAAAAGTGTGAAGGTGCAATTTTATAAAGTCAAATCGAGTTTTTATCCGTCCACGTTCTACCGATGGTGGATCTACCCGTCAGCGCTTGCTCGACCCATGCAGCCGGGTGGTACGCCTAGAGTTTTGCTCAACCAAACTCGGAAATGTCAGCATATGTACTCTCTTGCCCAAACTCGAAGACAGCAAAATGCTATGTTGGCGAGGCGAATGTGTTGACCAACTTAGATGGCTTTTTTTGCTAATCTCGAAAGTATGTGCGTTCGACCATGTTATTAGTTATTACCGGAAAAGAATGATCTATCTTCCGGTCGTGGCCTAGTGCTCTCTCCCCGACCACCAACGTCTAATATTGTATTTCCAGACCTCAGATGATGATTTGTCGAATCATTTTATTGCAAGGTCGACAAAGGCAAACTCTTCATTCTGCTATTGTTCGCAAGCCAGGCTTGCTGAACCCGTCCATCGGCTCAAAAATCGCCCCAAGTGGTGCCGGCTGCTTATTTTCCGTTCGTCGGTCATTTTAATTTAATGAGTTTATTGTTCATACTAAAACTTTACTCGGATAGGTATCAAGATCTAGTCGCATATGTTCGGCTATCAGTACGACAATATCTTACAATAAGTTTGACATTGTAGATGCCTGGCTATGGTTCAACTGTCCGATGTGTTGGGTTGATCATAGTAGAGGCGTCAATGCTAGAAAAACAATCAAAAGGCTCCTATCCGGTACTTTTTGCATCTGCATGGTTAGTTTAGCCAGTCACGAAATGGATATCGAAAGAATTTTGTCGTGTGTGCTCGGCAAGCATGAATTGTGCAGCGCAGTATAGAGACTTTACATTTGCGAAGCCAATTTGGCAAACCTTATCCTAGGATTATCAGGATCTATTTCCATGAGAATCTTTAGCAAAACTATGCGAAAATTTATTAATCTAATCATTAGATATCTTGTCTAGGTGCAGGTCTCATGCTCGCCATTATGTCTAAACTCTCATGTGCATAATATTTGCTGCAGCCTTATTATTCCACACCGCTGGGGAGGATATAATATAGCGAACGTTTCAAATTATTGAAGTTACTGTCCAATTAGCTTGCCAAGCCGCAGCGGGTTTGCTGTCCGACTAAAGACTCGGTAAAGTGCTAAAGACCTTGTGAAGAACCCTGTACCCTGCAATAAACCTGTATCTTGCACCACTACGTTACCACAACCACCAAATTTTCTTCTATTTATAAAAATGTATCCTCTTCACAGACGTTCCATAGTTTTCAGACCAGACTATCGCTACGCGATTATTCCGAAAGATGTCCAAACACGTCCACAAGCTACTCACCCAATCGAACTACACTTCTATCGACTTGACGAAAAGAAGGATCACGATAAACGACTTGCACATGTCCATCCACCAACCCCGCCCCCAAACAAACTAAAAGCCCACAAAATAACCGCCCAGGAAAACCTCGACGACTGTAAAACCACCTCCGTCTTCATAAGCTTCGTCAACTAGCTACGAATATGGCTTCCAAAAGGGTTTTACATCGATTGCTTTGATGATTGGCCTTACGCTCGCTCAAACCCCATCTCTCGTGATCGCAAACGTCGCGTTATACGAACTAAAAATGGTGATGGAAAGGGAAAAGCCGAAGCCGAAAGTTCACAAAGGTGATTTATACCAGGTTTCATAAGGTAGTGGAGGATGGTCTCGAGGAGCATCTCAGTGTAAAGGATCCAGGGTTACTGGTGAAGCGGCTTGGGGTAGCACGGAGGCGGAGGAGGATAGGTTGGTTAAGAGGGTGGAGAGAGTTTTTAATAGGAAGTTGGGACTGGAAGATGAGGAGTATGATGATTGAAGAGTCGGTGGGGAGATTATGGAAAGCATTGAGGGCTTTGAGGTGTATTAGACGACTGGATTAGATTGGTTAGTGGTTGTTGGATGAGTAATATGAAGATTTATCTCTCGCCTAATCCCCTATAGTGAGCTATTATTCACTCAAAATTATGGGTAATATAGAGGGTGGTAGTGTAGCGAACCGACTGCTAAGGTGATGATAGCTTCGCCGCTAAAGGAGAAATTCTCCGGCACACCACCACTTGCAGAAGACCTAAAAGATGACCTTGAAACTGAACAAACGGCAGAGCAAGAATGGTCAGCAATAAGTTGATGCTCAGTTACCCGAGTGCTATCTCATCCGATAGTTTTTTCTCCCTTGGGCACGGCTATTCCCCACCTCGTCTATGCAGTTTAGACCCACTAGGATGTGGATCTAGACGTCGGTTACAACATGAGGGGACGGGAACATAGACGAATTATGACTTTCAGGATACTTCTTGATGTAATAGTTAGATGGCTTTTCATTTAGGCCCTGATAGCTTATAAAGTGTTCTCCTAGCATGCGAAATAAGATATAGTAGGTAGTTAATAAATGAGCTCGCCTAGACAAGAATCGCGTCAACGAGCGTATTGTATCTCATGTCATTTATCCTTTAAAACTTCAGATGGCATTCAAATGATCATGAAATCGACCCAAAGCTAGAAGTTGCATGAAAACTTTAATGCACGCAGTTGAGTTGCGAAAAGTGGGGAGATCATTATTCCAAAATGAGTTAACTTGAGCAACTCTTTTCGCCAAAGGCCGGAGATGGAGGGTAAATTCAATAGTCCAGACTGCAGTGAGATAATAGGAGACCTTCGAACATTAAAAACATCTTGAATATTCAATTCATTAGATATTAATTCACCTAAAACAGTGAATTATTTCAAGGTACTGAAGGCCCACATATAATCTGCTACTCCAAATTATTCGAGCCCAATGCAGAAACTAATTGGGCAATGCCAAAAGAGCTATCTTAAATTATTAAGTTAGATGCTGTATATTCATCTAATGATGGAAGTTCTTAGGCTGAGATGGTCACAAGCGAACCGAGAAGTGTTGTTCAAGACCGGAGATTAACTCTTTTTCCCTCCCTTCAAAATAAAATATCCCATAAGTACCAGGCTTTCATACAGAAATTTGAACCTAGGAAAGTTAAGATGCAAAGAAGGCAAAGCTTTGAGCTGAATGGAATAAAATGATTGGATTTAGATTTGAGGTAAAAGCACTCGCCCCAGCAGTTTCGAGTCATGATAGTAATCGTGAGATGACTTGGCATTAAATCTTATTACTCGTAGCCAGGACAGCATTAGAAAGAAGAGCCGCATGAATCTGTAGTGTAACATTAAGACGGTGCTAAAGCACCAATCAGGCTCTTCGGCTCAAAACCTTGGCAGGTAAGCCGACAGGAGCAACATACATGATCTTGTACCTACCTAATCATACGTAATCAAAGCCACACCGCCATTAAATGGATGCACGGTATCATCTTTATCTCGCCTTCGGTACATGGAGCTTTCTATACCTAGATTTTTGCCTGGAAATGCATGGCTATGCATGCAATTTGTTCCCAACGGTTGTAATTCTCGTGCATGCGAGGTCCTCTCTACATGCAGGATACTGGTGGGGTATTATTTCAAGTTCGTGTGTAGTTCATGTATACTTCACAGATAAATTGATTTTGTAAGACAAGGAAATACGCCGAACCATATTGGTCAGATCCTCGAGCGACTCAATCCGACTTATTTGATTACTTCTGTGTATTGATACGTAGCACAAAAATATGCGGGTGCATTCTGCACCAGCGGCTATGCCGACACACGATCTGCTTATGCCATCTGGGTGGGTATAGAAACCACGCAAAGTCACAGTCGACTTGAAGCATAACCACAAAGCCAACACCAAAAATCAGCGATTTCAAAAACGTATTAAAAATAGAATTTTCTATTAATTCAATTAAAACTTTAAAATATGATTATTCAAATATCAAAATCACATCCAATTTAATATAAACTACAGATTTAAGATATTTGAGAAAGATAAACCAATCATGTCAATTCACTTGTAATTGTGATGAGGTCTTCCTCACGGGGCGAACATGAGTCTGTACACCCACTGGTACGGAGGACGGCTCGAAAAGGGATGCGACTATAAGGCCTTACAGGGTATTAACACTATAATACACTGTAATTCAACCTTTCGGATCAAGCCCTAAAAATTAATACTTAATTAGACTTTAAAAGGTTTATTTAAACCCTATAATTTTATTCGATTAGGATTAGGGTTATGTGAAACTCATCATATACTAATTCTTATAAATTCGTTAAGTATTAAATAACACTAGCTAGATGGTCAGGGTGTAAAACTATAAATCTTTTTATAATGCTAATACCCTATATAGTTGTATAAGGCCCTGTAACCACATCTCTTTTCGAGCCGTCCTCCGTAATGTGTCTCAAATCTGATCAATTAAAGTAACAATAAGACTACCGTATTAATTACGGTCTAAGATATAAGTTAGACCACCGTATCTTAGACTAGTACTAGGTACTATATCTTGACACTGTAATACGGTAGTCTAAGGTGCGAGAAGGCTAAGCTACGCCCTCTGCAAGTACCACAAATAGGTATAGCATATACGTGGGAAAAAAGTAAGTGAAATGAATTGACCATAAAGTCCTATCTGTAACAAAAACAATTGCAGATTCCGGTCACGGAATATCTACAGGATTTTAAGTTGCACTTTTCATCGCATGTTACGATGCTGTAAAAGGCTATGTTTAAAGAAGTAAAAATAAAAGCGATGCCCTTTAGATTAATAGATGGGAGACAACCTCGTTTGGTTTAGCTCATTCACCAAATGTGGTGGTTTGCAAAATGGTTTGCAAAAGGCTATGTTTAAAGAAGTAAAAGTAAAAATGATGCCCTTTATTCACCAAATGTTGTGGTTTGCAAAAAGGTTCGCAAAACCCTTCTGATTGCCTTGAATTTGCGTTAAGCTATTGTTGTATTTGCGTTAAGCTATTGTTGTATTTGAGGTTGTTACATTTACATGCGTAGGACAGGAATGTAGAAACCCCCTACCAATCATATTACATTATCACTCAATAATCCCTGATAGTCTGACAATGCCCCTGTATACTTACGGGACAACTGATAGCAAAAACGACCAATGCCGTTATTTTCGATCAACAACTGGCGGAATTCGGTGATTTTTCATTAAGAAAAAATCGAACGCCCTTGGGATACTCTGCAACATATATATAAAGAGACCAACATTCCAAAAAATTTACTCACCCCTTTCTTCCAATGACTATCTTTCAACAGACGCTCTTACAGTACAATCGACACCCCCTTATTACCACATCACGTACAATACATTTAACTACTTTCAACGCGCAAAGCAATCATGTCGAGCACCAGTGAAAGCTCTCACATTGCCGTACAAGGCTCTGTGGCTTCCGAGTAAGTCGACAATTCCTCCTCTTGCTTCGCGTACTCGACTATACCAGGCTTCGAGTTATAATTTCATTGCTTGGTATCTCTTTCTTTCTTTCTTACCATTAGACCTACTCTTCTTCTGACCTTTATCCTGGCGCACCCTCTGCGCTTCACCTTAACCTCTCCAACGGCTTTGTTGTATTTTCATAGTATCCAGCTCTAATATCTTCTTCCTTCCGCTAGCACAAACAACACTACAGACCATCGTTCATACAATACCTCCCCCACCGAAGCCAAAGGCTTCTCTGCTAATCGCATTGAACGCTATCTCGCCGAAAATGACTCTCCGGTTCCATACGCCTCGCCAGCTCACCATGACGGCGGTAACTTGGAGAGACCCTCGACTGCGACGCACAAAATGAACCTCAAATTGCAGCAGTTTGATGCAACATTCCATGGCCAGGGAGGAGCTTAACGCAACAATTGGATGTTGATAATTGAATGGACACCAGCGCATACGCATATAAGAGTTGGAGGACGGCTACAAGAAGGACTATCAGAATGACTTAACTAGAATGGACAACCTATCATCAATGTGATCATATCTTCAGCGAAACCTCGAAACAGGGTGACAGTGATCAGCTGCCTTATCTTACAATGTTCAAGAACGATAGCTTTTTTCGGTAATCGTTTAATCATTCAAATCAATTGGGTTACTGAAACTGCTCAGATAAAACTTTCAAAACTTTCAAAATTCCCAAACCCAATGACTCATCTTGAATTAGATAGATCTTTCAAATAAAATAAACATTCAATTATACTAAACCTATTGAAAGGCAACTTGCTCTGAAAGATTCAAATAAATTGTCAAACCACCCGAAAAGCTCCCCAACATCATTAACAAGTTGCCCCAAACATAAAACATAGTAATATCGGAAGTAACCACCCTTGGATTAATTAATTCCGAGACCAGGGTGCAATTTGCGCGATTCATGACAACTACTTAGGAGCGCGAGAGAGGCCTCGAGGCTGACTTTGTGGCCGTCAACGAACTATGTATGCCCCTTGGCAAGAGGCTCTTGCCAGCCCATGTACGAATAAAAGAATAAACGTTTGCGCTAGCTTTTCTGGAAGAATAGAAGGCTACTCTTCTAGTAGGTAGGTAATCTTACATGCAACGGAAATGACGGCCGCTGACCGCTGTATCCTAAGCGCAACTTTGCGGACAAATCTTGGCAGGGTGTGAGGGTGGCAAAGGTCAACCGCAACCAGAGCATAACGCAGCCAGTAATAGTAGGATTGACTCTCTATCGCCCTGCAACCGTGTATGTGTATGTTGTGTGGGTGAAGATTGAGTGAAGAGCGGGAGAGAGTGTAGAGTGGAGAGCGGTGTGAATTCGTCGTGTTGGAAGAGAAGGGACGTTTGACAGGGGAAATTTGATTTGCACCTATAACAAAATAGGAAAGGTTCAATGTGGGGTTCGTCAACTTTCGCTCTAGTGTCTTGGAACTGCGTCATTTATACGATCCTGCATCTGATGTCTCTTGAAGCTTATACTCGAGTAGCTGTTTTCCTTCTTTGTTCTGAAATAAATTAATGAACTTGAAATGTTTGGTAAAATCATTTGAACAACTAAGATTATCACAAGGAAGAAATACGATTGATACTTGGCCCCTTCGAATCTCATGGTCGCTTCTTTACTTGATACAAAACAATAGGAGAATTCATCATCTTGAGATTTCTATGCCACAGAATCTAAGTGCCTTGTAAGTTGACTAGACTAGGCAGAAAGAGCGCATTTAGCCCAGCCTTACAGACCGGAGACAAATTCGACAAATCCTATCCACCTGAACAAATCAAGCAAACCAAAGAGCTTCCGATTCAACCAAATATATTAGTTCCACCTAAATACGACATCAATTTGATAAATATTACCTCATAAACATAAACAATCATCAGAATGGCATCTACTCCTACACTGATCGGCATGCCCGAACCACCATCAAATATTGATACTCCAACTGATGCACCGTAAATACTCACCCCACAATCCCCCTATCAAAATACTAATGTAATCTACTCCAGAGGAACCCCAAACTCAACCACGACCTCCCTCTCCGCGCTCTCCACCACCGCTATCAAAGATGGTCATCGCGGATCTGCTCACCCGACCGGAAGCTCTCATCATCAACACACTCTTTCAAACAATACCCTCGAAGCGCAGCGCGCAGATCGAATCTCACGCCTTGCAGGTCTCGAACGGGTAACCACAGCGACCCCTCAAAATCCCAGTGGTACTACAACAGCCCCAGGGCCTGCTACTGGACAAATCCCAGGATATTTTGATCAAGCCGGAAATCCAGTTTATACAACACGCATATCTACCGTTGGCAGCGCATCCGCGACCGGTTCTATGACGGGAAGAACCACTACATGGGCATCGAATAGTACAAAAGGACAAACGGAGGCTGATGATGATGAGCTAAGCATGGATAACAATTATCGAGAAACAGATGATCGTGACACGTTTTCCGCATCGGCTATGGATGAGGAATTAGATGGGGATGGAATGAGTGATAATACAAGTTTAGTTGGATTCGGCGAGGGCGCTGGAAGCACCGTCAGCGGTCCAACATACAGCAGAGGCAATATCCTCGCGAGCCCTATCGCAGTAGGAAAAAGCGGTCTAGCCAAAGAAGTACAGAGCAGCAATCCCGGAACCTCCGTCAGCGCATCCACATCCGCAACAGCAGAACAACAGAGGCGTGAAGCGAGAATGCTAGATGGAATTACAGATGATAATACAAGTGGCTATGTGGATACGGCAGCCCGAGGTTATGGAACAGGAGTAGCTGGAAATCGCAATTCATCTGGTTCAGGACTAGGTACGGGAGTAGGTGCCGAAGCTGCAGAGAGAATTTTAAAGGAGAGAATTGATGATAGTCCATCTGCGGCTAGTAGACCTCCTCTTGGTAGTCCCGATCAAGCGGGTCTGGGCAAGTTTTATTTCGAAGAGAAGAAGTAAAATTAGAAATTGCGTTTGGGAATTGTCGGGTAGGGCTAATGCTCCAAATCTTGAGTTCGTTAAATATTCGGTTAGCCTGGCGTTGGTCTTTTAACCTTTTTTCCCTCTTTCTCAATGTATGGATATGGTTGGGTTTGATGGTGGATTGGTGGGTGGGATGGGTGGATGGATGGATGGATGAAGGATGGGGTTCTGGTGCTAGGGGGCCTGGCTTCTCATTATTATTATTGTTGCTCGAGATGATATGATGATGAGAGAAATTGAACGATCCCATAACTCTATCCATGCATGCATGCTTGCTAATCTCAATGTGAATATAAATGCAGATTTGTAGATATGAACGACTATTCTGAGCATCTCATTATGCCCTAGCTCAAAAGTGCAATCCACCCTTCCTCTACCCTAGATTATCCCCTGAAGAAGTAAACAACCATTTCCCTATGTATCTAGTGTTTAGTACTCAATATTAATATTAGTATACTGCCTAAATCCATCCATCCATCGCCTTGAAACCTATCCCATATCCCACATCCCACATCTTACATCCCACATCCACAACCCAACTCCAACACTCCTCCATAAAGGCCTTTCATAGTAAGTACCTACTCTAGGTAGGGTAGATGGCTGAATGACTATTTCTCTACCTGTACTGTAGACCACTCATCTGAACGCCACATGTGTAAGTGCAATCCAATATAAACGTAATCCAATATAGATACAATCCAACAGGGATGAGTATCATCTTACCTAAACCTCAAGGACATTTTACAGTAGATAGTGTACAATTAAAGAACGTGTGCAAACTCAAGAACGAATATTCGATTAGGAGTAGCTGTGGATATATGGAAAGGATATGCCTAATCAGGGTAGAAATCTGCTCGGCTAGAGAGTTAGGGTACTTCAGAGGAGGGGACTTTACTTTCTTCTTACATTTGACGAGGTGAGTTGTGTGTTCACAGAGGGTGGTTTATCTACACTTGGAGATTCTGTAATAGTAGACGAGGCACTGCTGACCTCCCTTTGTATGATTACACCTCTTCCATAGATCATTTGATTCGAATCCGAAGGAACAACACTTGATGGCATAAATCATAGGAATTTTGTGTCCATTTACTTGCATTTTTGAAGAACCGCTTCTGATATGTACAAATTTCCCACCTCACAACAAATAAAAATATGGTTATCTATATGGTGCATCAGCTCTTGCTGCTGCTGCCAATTCCGGCTCCCATTTGTCTCCATTAGCCAATAACTGTAGAATAGTTAGTAAGTGATAGAAAGGCCCAGGGCCGTTATCATGGAAACATACCTTCTCCTTGTTGTATAATAACTCCTCTCTTGTCTCTGTGGCGTACTCGGCATTTGGTGATTCCACGATAGCATCAACTGGACAACTTTCCTGGCAGAAACCACAGTAGATACACTTCGTCATATCGATATCGTAGCGGGTTGTTCTACGGCTTCCATCTTCACGCTCCTCCGCTTCGATGGTAATAGCTTGTGCGGGACAGATCTAAGTAATATTAGGATCCGCTACTTTCTGTAAGAATGAGATAACATACAGCTTCGCAAAGCTTGCAAGCAATGCATCGTTCTTCTCCTGATGGATATCTTCGTAAAGCGTGTTCGCCTCTGAATCGTGGAGAGATTGGACCCTATACTATATGAGCATTTGTCGCCACCTTGATATAATCCGAACTGCATACCTTCTCGAAAGGATAATAAATTGTGTATCTGCAAGTTGTTAGCCACTGCAGTATAGACGTCGAGATTCAATGGCATCACTTACGGAGGTCTAAAGTATTGTTCCAATACTACGTACATTCCTCTGAACATCTCCGACATGAGAAAGTACTTTCCCGCCTTATCCATCGTACTCTCCTTACTCTCGTTCCATCTCTCAGGTTTTGGCAGTCTGAAGCCAGGCGGGGGGGGTCCAGCTGGGGTGGCGCTTCGGAATTGAGAAGTAGAGAAAGTTGCTCTAGATGCGACGGGTGCAAATGTGCGGATGTTTGAAGCTGTGAAAGTATATGCTGGACGACTGCGCGCCACGAGCATAGTTATAGGCTTTGTTGTTGCCATTGTGAAGGATTGCTCGTGGCAGGATTGTTGGAGATCTGTATCTAGATATGAGGTTGACGGAACTTTAAGAGTTGATTTCGAAATGGCTTCCTATGATTGGCCGAAAGTACAAAGCTTCTATTGTACGCCACCACTTCCTTCTATATTATGAAATTATAAAGTAAACTAAGTTTAGTAATCGCAATATCATACATCATTTCAAAACGAATTTCTACCAATCAACTTTACTGTAAATAGTTCTCTTAAATCTCGTCGTCGCATCTTCAGTCACGTGTAGTCAAAATACGCTAAAGCTAAACATTCTGGGAAGCATCTCATCATCAAATTCACATCTACCATCGCATTATCCACAGACGTCCTCTTAATCCTCTCCACATATCAAAATGTTCAGAACCGCTCTTCTCAGAACAGCCCGCAGCGCTGCTAGCAAAGCTGTCCACAGACCTACAGCAATTGTTCGTCCTATTGCCCCAAGTTCTTTCATCACAAAATCTCAATTCGCCCCATCGGCTTTCCAAGCCGCAAGATGCTACTCCGCAGCCGCCGGTCTTGAGAAGAAAGAGGTTGAAGGCAGAATCCTGTCTTTACTAAACAACTTCGACAAGGTGAGTGCGCTCGATGAACCTTCGACTGAGAAAATACTAACATGATATATAGGTTTCCGACCCAACGAAGGTATGATATTTGATAGTGTAGAAGGTCAGGGAGTTATAATTGACAATGGGTAGCTTTCAGCAACAGCGCACTTCTCGAATGATCTTGGGTTAGACAGCCTGGACACGGTAGAAGTTGTTATGGCTATTGAGGAGGTTTGTACAAGATATCCGCAACGGGGAATTGGAGACTGATGAGGTTACAGGAATTCAGCATTGAAATCCCAGATAAGGATGCCGATGCTATTCTCAGTGGTATGTTTTCCGGTGATTATTGAATGGGGAAATAATTTTAACAAATTTCATAGTTGACCAAGCCGTCGAATATATCCTCCACCAACCAGATGGTGAGTCTTTGGTGGGATGTTATAAGGTGGATAAAAATAGCTAACGGCCTTCATAGCTCACTAGATTTTGGAACTGTATAATATGGGGACGGTCGAGGTGGAAAAAAGACAATGAGGGGTTCATGGGTCATGACTGAGATACAAGTGGTGAACGGGCGGCGATACAAGGGAGGGAGGGGAAACTTGTGCAAGCTTTCGATGCGTTCATAGAAGTGATATGATTCTATGCGCCTGTAAAAATGTTTAGACCATCTTACTCAACAAATTCTTGTTTTCCCTCATTACATTAAGAACATGAAGATATATTGATTTTGAAATCTTTTTCAAAATATCATTGGTATCTTTTTCTGTTAATAACTTTCTCTTCCACATCATAATAAATTTCCCACTTCCCCAGTTCAAAGAAGTTCTCTATAAAATCTTAGCGTGGTTTCATTGGGTTATCCCTGTTCATCCGCGCACCTCAAAGCTCTACAGAACAATTCGAACCTTCAAAACCACCACATTTGCCCCGCCCACATTTTTCTTATTGATACGAAGAGACAAATTCGAGAATCTAGAACTCCAAGGATCATTTTATTCATCGACAAAACGAAAGAAAATCTACTGGCGGAATTGCTTTTGTGAGCGGTAGCGCCGCTGTCTCACTGCAACGAGGACAAAACTCCATCCCCCTTTGCTTAATTTCCCACGACAACCCAAGCATTTATATCAAATACTCCACATACAATTGATCTTGCGATACGACCAATGTCTTCAGGACTTACTCGCAGAAGAGGTGGTGGAGGAGGGGCTGGCGACACGGAAAATGGAGAATCGAGTCGTATTGCATCACCGGCGCCCAAAGCTGGCAATTCACGCGATACTAGCGGTCCCGAAACATCATACGAGAGCGGCGAAAATGGACACAAGATTGCCTTTGATCCGAGAGATATTAGCGAAAGCGCTGAGAGGAGCAAACAACCTAAATTGACGCTGATGGAGGAGGTCTTGCTGCTGGGATTGAAGGATAAGCAAGTAGGTGGCTTGATCTGAACAGGTGGTGGTTGGCAGTTCTGCGATCAGTACTAATACGATTTTACAGGGATACCTTTCATTCTGGAACGATAATATTTCGTATGCGCTTCGTGGATGTATTGTCATTGAGCTGGCGTTCAGAGGGCGCGTGAGCATGCAGAAGGATTCTTCGAGGCGGCGATTTCCCTTAGCGGATAGAGTAATTGAGGTTATTGATGATACTTTGACGGGAGAGGTATTGTTGGATGAAGCGCTGAAAATGATGAAAGCAAGTGAAAAGATGAGTGTTAGTTCATGGATTGATTTGATGAGTGGTAAGGAATCGCAATTTCCCACATTATGAAAGTCTCAACATTGACATCATTTCCCAGGCGAGACATGGAATCTTATGAAAATCGGATACCAATTGAAACAAGTTCGAGAACGATTAGCAAAAGGATTGGTCGATAAGGGTATTCTAAGGACCGAGAAGAAAAATTTCCTTTTGTTCGATATGGCAACGCACCCTGTAGCAGATGGTGGAGCAAAGGAAGAGATTAGAAGAAGAGTCCGAAACGTCCTTACACAACGAACGGTTGTCCTCCCTGGTAGTCAATTTCTCCCCGAAAACCTCGAATTCAGATACATCAGAACAATTGCTATGGTATGTGCTGCGTATGCAGCTAATGTATTAGAGAATGCCCTCGCATCACTGGGTCACGAGTCTAGAGAACGAGCATTCGCTCAAGTGGATGAATTATTGGCAGAATATAGTCAATGGCCATTTGGAAAGAGAGCGGGAGGCTCAGCAGGAATCGGTGCAAATTTGGGACAAGTCATTACTGATGTATGTATCATTCCCTTTTTACCAATACCCCTCCCACGCCCACAATATATATACTAATATACTAATACCACACAAATAGGAGGTAAACAATGGAAAGGATAAAGAGCTACAGCTGGAGGTTGTGGCGGCATGTTTAAGTGTCTTTACCCGGTTGGACTCTTTGCTATAATTGCTTTCTACACATACAATTTGATTTCATAAGCACGGCAGGCGAGCGGCGCATCTCGATTACTTTTATGATGGAGGAAAATTACAAATATATTCAAACAAACCCAACGAGATCTTTTTGCTATGCTACAGGGTTAAGTTAAAATCATTCATTTTCATTTCCATGGGAAGGGAAGGGAAAGGAGGACAGGGGTAGGAAAGTAGGGGGTTTGGGGATATTAGACTTTAGTTCAGCGTAGGAAAGGAAGGAAAAAATATTCATTTAGTAGTTTCACTCATCTACTCTGTTCTATTCTTTTCTTTTTTCTTCTACTCTATTCCATTCTGTTTCTGTTTCTGTTTCGGTTCGGTTCTAACCTGGCTGGGTACCAGGAAAGAAAGTTACGAGGTTGGAGATATGAGGAAGGGATGGGAAGGAGATAGTAAGGAAGGGAGAGAGGGAGAAGAAAAAGTAGTTGGAGATTTATATGAATGAATGGGATGAATGGAAATGGGAATGGAAGTAGCTAGATAAGATGAGATGAGTCGAGATGAGATGAGATAATTTGATATGATATGATATGATTTAATACCGTTCTCGAATATATAAAGTATGAAGTATGAAATATGAAGAATGAATGATTTGATAAACTCCCCTAATCAGTAACTAATTGGTTAACTAGTCTGGTTGACTGGCTTCTGTATCGGGAGAAGTGTTACGAGGTTTGCCGTCTAGATCACGCGGAAGTGCTCTAGGCTCTCGAGGTGGTTTATAACTAGGCGTCAAGCAGGGACTTAAGTAATGACAATAATGATATGCAATTCGTAACTAATAGTAGAGTATACTAAATGATTGATCTTGAGCACGAAGCTCTATACAAAGGAAATTCGTCCTGACTATATAGACCTTTATGCTATGGACCTTCAGGACCCCGAAAGGTCCTGGACCTAAGAATATGTTGGACCCTTATTTTTCGTGCATATTATGTAGGGTCTATCACGTGATTGAATCACGTGGTAATGGGCTTGTGGAGTCCGACGTAACAGAGGGGGTTTATTAATTTTTATTTTTATTTTTATTTTTATTTTTATTTTTATTTTTATTTTTATTTTTATTTTTATTTTTATTTTTATTTTTATTTTTATTTTTATTTTTATTTTTATTTTTATTTTTATTTTTATTTTTATTTTTATTTTTATTTTTATTTTTATTTTTATTTTTATTTTTATTTTTATTTTTATTTTTATTTTTATTTTTATTTTTATTTTTATTTTTATTTTTATTTTTATTTTTATTTTTATTTTTATTTTTATTTTTATTCTTATTTTTATTTTTGTAATTATTTTTGTAATTATTTATATATTTTATTTTATTTTAAATATTCTTTCTGTTAAAAGGAATAGAAGTTACCGGTACTAATCACGTGTCGTGATTAGTAATACGGTTACCTAAACAGGCTAGATTAGACGAACCATAAGCAGGCATATTGGTCCCCTCTGAGGATACCAAGAGGAGATTAATATGCCTACACACGTAGTAATATAGTCAATATAGAGGCCTCTTCCACCCAATCTTTTAATACTTTCTCCTTTTTAAATTAGATTAAATAACCGGGGAAGAGAAGAGAAGAGAGGGAGGAAAAGAAAGATAATAGAATTAATAATATAATATCATTCTGTTAAAAGGAATGACCTCACACAGGGAATAGTGGGAAGCTGATAGGGCAGAACTGAGGTAATATTGGTCTAGTAGGTAAATCTCTCTTCTAAGTTCTACGGAAGTGCGAAGCTCTCTGTAAGAGAGCTTCTCAATCTAGTCCTAACAGGACTAGTGCCCTGTGCACGTGCTACGCAGGAACCATTCACTTTAACACATTCATATATTCACAATAGACAACTTGGTTATTTTCTACAAAAATGCTAATTGTAGATATATGTAGGTGGTATTGAAAAGTATTCTTCCTCTGATAAACATGCCTAGGTGTGCAGCCCCATTTTGCGTCCATGAATTTGCTTGGATCTGGATGAATTTTTCCTCGAGACCACTTCATAAACATAAGGCTATCACCTTCCATTTTCCCATCTCCTACCACCATATTCGTATTATATTTTCCTATCCTCACTCCTTAACACCTAGACTGATTCCCAACATCACATGCTCCCTCTACTTTTTCTTCCCTCCACCCCCAAAACTACCCTCAAAACCTGGCCTACTCTTCTTTTTAGCACCACCTGCTGGTTTTCCACCTTTTCCGCCCTTCTTTCCCTTTCCTCCCTTTCCATCCTTCCTAGCCTGTAGATTCGCCTCTCTCTTCTTCTGTTTCATAGCTCCCGCTTTCTTGACTCCATCTATTCTCTCTGTCCATTCCTTCTCACTCTTCTTCTTTTGCTTCTCTTTTCTTTTGAGAGTTTTCTTCAGCAATGAACTATCATCTCGAACTTTCTCGCCATTCACGCGCTTTTTCGCAATTAACCAGCGTTCTTTTTCTTCAATGTCGGCGCGCTTATCGGCATCCATGCTTTCTAATCGAGATTGTTTCTTAGCCGCAGCGGCGAGTGCACTATTAACATCTTGCGGTCCCTTTTTCTTCGGTATCGATTTCAGTGCAGTTAAATCTTCGTTGAGACCTTGTCCATCAGCAAATGCGACTCTGCCAAAAGCAAAATTGTTTTCAGGTGATCGGATTAGAGGACTGAGCAAGCTTCCTGCTGGACTACTTCTTGCTGATACTAGTGCGGCTTCACGTCGAGCCTCTTCATCAATCTTGGCTTGAAGTCGAAGTTCTCTCTTGTGGGCTTTCCGCTGCTCTTCCTTTTTGCGACGTTGTTCCATGAGTTCTTGACGGTTGCGCACTGGGGTACCATCAGAGTTACTTGCTTTACGTGCTGCTCGTAGAGCTTCGATACGTGCTGCTAATCTAGAACGGAGAATTTCAGAGTCGGCTGGGAGAACTATGTGTTTAGGAGGCGCGGTAGGAGGTATGGTAGAGGATGTGGATGTACCTCCGCTGATGGTCTCTTCATTGGTTGTTGAGAAAGTAGATGAGGGCGGCGATGACTCTGTAGATTCGGGCTCCTCCAAACCTTCGGCTTCAAAATGCCCAATTTCATCATCATGGTCTGGTTCTTCATCTGTCGCAGTTTCATGCTCGATTGACTTTTTGGTAGGGACTTCGTTAGTGGCAGCTTCCTTGGTAGCTTCCTCGGCCACATTATCCTTTGTAGTCGACTCACTAGCAGAAGTATCTTCCGTTGGTAATTGGACAACTTGTTTAGCAGCTTCCTCCCTCTTCGCCTTCTGTTTAGCTGACTTCTTAGCTGACTTTGCCTTTTTCTGTTCTTCTTTCTGATTTCTCTTTTCCAACCTTGCTGCTTCTTCTTCAGGTGTCAAAACTTTTTTGGCTGTTGAGTCCTTTGGTGTTGAAGATTTGGGCATCGGTTTTGTGGATTCGGTTTCAGTTTTTAATTTCTTAGCTGGCTTCTCCACTGCCTTTTTCAATCCTTGTTTTGGTAATTCTTTTTCGATGCCCTCTACCTCGGATCCATCCTCAACATCCTCAGACTCTTCCAATTTTCTCTTCTTCGCTCGTTCATCCATGACATCCTTTGCCGTCTTTGCAGAATCTGGATCAAGCTTTGCGCGTCTTGCCGCAGCAGCTTGTTGCTTGGTTTGCTTCTTCTTTTTCCATTGATCCTGTGAAGGAAAATGGTAATCAGCATTGTAGCTCTGGCAGTGGGATCCAAACCGAACTATTTACATACGCTAGTGTCTTCGCCGTAGTAATATTTCGCAGGAATCAAAGATAGCAGTCCATCAAATGCCTCTGCATGTTCTCGCAGCCGGTCCTGGAGAGAAAAAGGGTTAATGGATGAAATGCGTAAGGCGGGGAAAGGAAGACAAACTTGAAGTGTACTCTCTGCCATGATTTTTTTCCGCCAATGGCTAATAAATTACAATAGCGATATAAGGAAGATGAAAACTTGAATTTTAAACAACAATATAACTTCTGATCATGAATTGAATGCGAATAATACAACTATCATAAAGTTATTCTGTATTGTGTGTGTATGAGTGAGGTTTGTGGTAAAATATGAAGCTTTTCTCCCTCTGTACAAATACGATAATCTGTGCCAAATTAAATTTTCGAGATTTCTTGAGTCCTTACTTAGTGCGCGAAGTTTTTGCAAGTTTTGATTGGTCGGTTGGAACCAATTGGGGGTTCTTTTTTTTGTGGGTTGATGAGTGATTACCCACTTATTATCTTAGCGGGTGAAAGTGGACAAGCGAAGAGAGAGAGAAAAAGAGAAAAAGAGAAAGAGTAGCCGTACTCTCAGCCTCACTTACCCAGCCTCATGCACCAGCCATATGTACCGGCACCAGCCTCACACATTATTCGGTACCTTATTAATTACCTAAAATTGCGGCAGTGCAAGTGAAATTTCTGGTTGGGATTTCCTAAGGGGGGTGACCCGCCAACAAATGATCTGATCAAGGTAAAAATGGAATCAATGCATTGAATTTGCTTGGCTGGGAAAAGTCAAAAAAGGTTCATGTGAATCAATGGATGGATTTACATTTACATTACAATGATTACATACTCACATATTCATACAGTCAATACTATAATACCTATCATAACCTCCCTCATCATTTCACACACTCATTTGACACCTTCTCATTTTTTAAACATAACATACATCTGGGTAAGGCCCAGGAAACATGTGGATCAAAATCAAACAACATATGATGTCGTGGCAATCAATACCGCCTCTACAATTAACACCAATTTTATAAGTGTCTACGAATACCTTGTCAAATCATCACGCAGCTTCTTTCCCATTCATCAGTCACATCTGCTTCAGTTTTTCGCCTTATGATACCCCAGTTCAAGATACCCAATCAATGCACCCACCATCCTTCCCCTGATATATCTAGGTTAGATATATTTTCTGCTGCCCAACATACATAAACCTTGAGATAAACAAAGAAGATCAGGGCAAAACCTTTCGAAAAAACAAACTCTTTCAGAAGCTGGCTGAGCTTCTTGGATAAGCTTATTATTATTTATTATCAAGTATTTATCTCTTAGAGCCTACCGAACGAACGCGTTACTTTGCCTTCCAGGCTGAGTATCATTAACAAATAGCGAAACACGGGTGTAAAACGAAGTCTCTTTTCTCCCTCGACTTATTTTCATAATCCATCTCAAATCCTCAGGAAATTATGTCACCTCAGGATTTTGTTGAAGCAAACTCACTTTCTGGTCTCAACCAGCTTGCCGGATGCCCTCCGAAGTATCCACGAAATCCAACCGAACAGAAGAGGGCCAACTTGGTTCTCTATATCGCTAGAGTACCTGGTAGTAATGGTACGTTCAGAATAATATGGCCGGCCGAACATGATAGCTGACTCTATTCGCTAGATATCATTCTCACTACCTTGAAACCACAATTGAAGAATGTCACATCCGAGGATATCGCAAGCTCTTTATACTACTTGCATCTAAACTCGGACGAAGATGTCCATCTGTTATCCGAAGAGCAGTCGATTCCTGCTCGGGCGCTGTCTAAAAAGACTTTACCCAGGAAACCCTTACCCGCTGGCTCTAGGGCTCAGTCCTTAGATATTGATAGGCAAAGTATATTAAACTCAAAGCGCCAAGCACCTGCGCTAGACATCCAACAGGATGATACTTGGCGACTTTTTGACTTCGTGACTCCGCGTGATAGCCTAGCAAATACGCCAACGGTAGCAGAAGCAGGTATTTCTGGGCGGTCCGTAGGTCAGCACTCTTCTATGGGGCGTGCCAATACCGTCAACAGAAAGCCTCTTCCGAGAGTAACGCCTGAAAATTCAATATTCACTTCAGAATCTTCTCCAGTGGACAATCCTGATCATAATGACCTGGGACCATCACACCGGCCTCAAAATAGCCATACGACGTTGGAAAGGCCTAATCCAATCGAAGATATAGCAAAGGCATTTTCGATAACTATCATACGGCGGGATCCAACTTCGGGTGGTCAATGGAATGTCGGCACAGTTGAAGGCAAATCAAATCCTCCCACGGTGGGGATGGCGGCAACTAAAAAGCCTTACTATGACATTTCTGTACATATCACAACGCCAGGATATAACTACTTCCGCCACCACACCCACCCGACAACCAATATCAAGCTCGGTGGTACAACTCCAAGTCGGGGAGCACAAGGTGCTACTTCTCAACCTCCGGGAAATGAAGGACCCACATCAATGACGCAAAAAGGAGGAGTCCCCGGATCAGGTTTTCATCGTCAGGTCTCGATGGAATGGGCTAGTTCATGGAATAAAACTTTTAGACAACATAAAAAGGCGATGTCTGATTTTTCGGGAAATCACAGCAGGAATAACAGCGGTAGCTCGGAAGGTCCGCATGAATCCGATTTGGAAAGTCGGTCCATGGAAGGGTCCGAAAATTCTCGCGCCAAGGGTTACACATTTTTGAGTCCCTGGGAAGGTACCTGTACATTCTCCACGGGGGGCGCGGGCCGGTCCTTACGCTGTCGACACAAATTACCAGCCCCAGTATCCGCAGATTCTCTTGCTTCCTCGTCGACCTCGGTGACTGTGAGCGAACTTCGCTTCAATTTACCAAGTTCGGATTTATTCGATAGAGAGAAAATGGACTTGGCTGCAGCTCAGGTCAAGAGTGGATCGTCTAAACTCACACGAAAACTAGGAAGCTTCCGCAAGAGACTATCTAAACCTAACCCTCAGCGTCCATCTGAAACTCAGCCGCATCAAACGTCTCATACTACGCCATATGCAAGTAATGGAGAAGAAGTTTTCTCGCTACCACCAAGACCTTCCTCGATCAGCTCGTCATATGAAGAAGATTCTCCGCCCCTGCCACAAAGATTACATAACTTTTTAGACGAGCTGACAATATCGAACGATAATGATGATCGATTGGACCTTAGTATTGGACAGGAGAAAGCCGGTGGTGGAAATAGAGGCAAACGAGCAAAACTGGGAAAATTAATTATTCATGACGAGGGCTTGAAGATGTTAGATCTCGTCGTAGCGGCCAATATTGGCGTCTGGTGGACTGTCTGGAATCCCAACTAAAGCTTATAACGAAACCAACTGCTTTTTGTGTATTCTTCACGCGTATGGGATTTGAAAGGAGTCAAGCGAGGTTCACATAACTTTTGAATATTTTGGTATCTTGAGAGAACAAGTTCTTGCCAAATTTTCAGTTGACAATTGGCTATGGTAAACTTAGCATTTAATGTTTGGTGTCTGTCTGAAATGGTTAGTTTACCGGAGAATAATGGAAATTGTACATCACATGCTCTACATGTTTTCAGCCGCGGAAATTTATCTATTTTCTCCCTTCACTCTAAGCTGCAGTGTTGCCTCGAGCTACTCTAGGATGTACAATTTCAACTTAATCTCCCGGAGACCTATACGGCTCCGAAGATCTATTGTTCTTGCCTGCTTAAAACCTTTCTGTCCGAATACGTGCAATATCACAACGTGGCAAAATTATCTCATCCTTAAGCTTAATATTAACGTAGTACATCGTCATAAAGAAAGCGCTTTGATATAATCCTCCTCTTCACATTTTCCTGGTAACCATATTGTGGGGTTTGTACACCTTCTCTTACCCATTTTGATCACGTTCGCCACGATGGTTCCTTCCTTCGTTTGTTGAGAAACAACCTCATTTAAGTGATTCACTTGTGAGTTGAGGATGGGCATTTCCGAGATGGGACGGTATAACAGGCAACAAGGAAGGACAATTGGCGTTTGCTAGTGACGTGAAAGTTTTTTTTTCCGGTGTGTCCTATCTCTTTAGAATGTGAAGAAAATTGCACCTCCTACTTTCGATGTTTCGGTCTCTTGGCGAGCCAATAGACTGTTTTTGATGTGGACGATGGCTCTTGCCTCGACTTTCAAGTGTTACGTCCTCGATAACAAACTCATGTATATAAGATCTCATTCTTCCACTCTGCTTTCATTTTCTCATCAACTCATCAACTCACATTTGCTTGATATTCGCTGAACAACTTCGCTTCAAACACAACACTCTAGCTCAATTCCATTCGCTCTTAATTCAAATAATCCAATCAATACCACCCTCCTTACAATCAAAATGCGTTTCACTATTGCTACCGCTATTCTCTCATCTGCCGCTATGGTCGTTGCAATTCCTACCACGGAATCAACACTTTTCGGTCGAAGTGGAGGCCAAACTTGTGCTCAAGGACAAACCCTTCAATGTTGTCAATCTGTTACTGCAGCAGGCGATGGAATCCTAGGCAACTTGTTGGGCTTGAACTGTAAGTTTTGGAATTATCTTTTCTCCTTCTGCCTATCATTATCTAGTCCATATCGAAATTCCCTGCTAACAACAAGGACAGGCGCTGACATCCCAATTCCAATTCTTGGTGTTATTCTTGGAGGCAAATGCAACTCAGCACCAGTCTGCTGCAACGTTAACGGTGGAGATACCAGCGTAAGTCTTCCCTATAACTACTATGTTTCTTTATCTTACATGGCTAGCCCGATTGCGATGACGATTCTAACAGTGTTGGTACACAGGGAGGAATCAATATTCTCACCAACAGCTGCGTTGCCGTTCCTATCGTTATCTAGATGATCAAAAAGGCTCGAGTCCTCGTCGTTATGGAGCACTACCGACCGGGCAATCACCCACTTCTTTTCTACCTTCCACACTCTCCACCGTCATCTCAGCAACCAGAGTTAATTTTCAATTTCGACCATCAATATACACCTTTCGGCGTTATGCATGGAATTCACATGGGTGGTCGAATTCACGTATATGTCTGTTCACTCTCGACACTAGGACTCAGCATTGACTTTGCGAGTGTTCGATTCTACTCTTCATGTCATGTCTAATTCAACATTGGACACTCTATTCTTTACTCATGTCATCTCTTATTACACATGGGTACGCATTCACATGTTCTCAATCAGATTGTAATGTTTGGAAGGAATACATATGTATATTGTAGTTACCTCTTCTAGCTTCGATACGATATCAATAGCATGTGGACAATACAGAGAGACACCTTTCATGAGACTTTAATTTCTTTGGCTGAATGCATGGTGACGCTTTGCTTGTGCATGCATGAGTTTCGTGTACTGTGATGATGTCTCATCGTCGGTACAACTCGCCAATCTTTGTACTTACTGTAATGTGAGTCTTACATACATACATAAGATTACATGCATACATACTTTACTTGGTAAATAACACAACAGCAAAAGCAACAGTAACAGCAACAGCCAAATTAAATAAATAAAAACTTGCTCATGAATCATGATACTTACTGGGTAATTAAAGTACTAATAGGTATCACGAAGGTCTAAACGTGTGCATGTATGTCAGTGCAGCGTATTACATTACACAATGTAAGACAGTGTTATACACTATAATTCTACTTCATAATGCAAACTTCGTGGTTTATAGGTTTATAGTTTATGATTTATAATAAGAATATTAAAAAAATCTTTTTATTTAGTGTATATTAGATAACGAGAGATATATATTTTTGGGGGGTATGTGTGTATGTATGTATGTATGTATGTATGTATTTGTGCAGCTTCTTGGCTATTTTTGGGGATAGAAGGGATGTTTTTGGGGAATTTGTGGTGTATTATAGTGTGATGGAGGGGTA